ACAGCCTAACCTAGGAACCTAGGAATCTCCGTACGGGGCCAACAGTGAGCTTTGCCGTCGACAGCTGTTATTGCTAATATGAAGTGTTTGTGGAGGCTGCTGCCAGTCCGAGAAGGCTGTCCAGTAGAGAAGCTTGGTTGGACTTAAATGTGAGATTGGCGCCCGGTGTTGGTCCAGGGTAATGCAGGAGGAGGGGGATGAAGTTTTGTGTGTTGAGAAGTCTAGACCTTTCCAGGGCCTCGGACAAACCATTGACAAACCCTTCGGCGGCAGGAATGTCGCTGAAGCATTCGTAGCACGAGAGAGAAGGCCGCGACTAGACGAAGATGAAGGGTGGTGGCTGTGTTGAGTACAACGGCGAGGCGAGCGTTCATTGGCAGACTTGGTTGTCACATCCGGATATCAGTGGCCGAACGAGAACGAGTGCCCTGTGACAGTTGCGTTGCAATGAGAGCCTCGCCTGACACACAGTTCGTATTTATTCAGAACTATCAGCTCTTGAAGCCTTTGGTAATATGTGGGCACCTGACTATGAGTGATTGCGGAAGTGCAGTATTGGCGTTGAGGCATTGCGTTACCGTTGATGCCCGTATGCTTTCCATGACGAGAGGTACATGATACCTGGCCATCGCGTCAGATCTGGACGTGGCGCTGGCGCTGGTACTGTTGCTGGTGCTAGCGTTGGTGCTGGCGTCGGTCTTGCGCGTCCTCCACACTGCGCGTCTAATAACCCTGGGAAAAGGATGACGGCGAGCGCGTTCATGACTTGAACTGCAAGTTCGTATATTGACCTGGGACCGGATCGCGAGTTTGACCGGTCGGTGGAAGCGCGGATGCCAGGTAAGGAGGAGGATGCAGCACTGGAAGTATGTTGTCTCGTGCCGTCGCCCGGCCAGGCAGGCAGGCAGGCAGGCAGGCAGGCAGAGCCATGATGAGTGAGATTCTTTGCGATGCTGAGCGAGGAGTGAGGAAGGGACGTGTCGTCGTCGTCGTCGTCGTCGTCGTCCATCGGACATATTGCCATGTTGCTTGCCTGTCCGCGGCATGTTCTGAAGGCCTGCCTGCCTGCCTGCCAGTTCCCTGGTCTCCGATCAAAGCAACCCCCCGCCCATGGCCATAACCATGACCAGGCAGGGTAGGTAGGTACGGATAGGCTGGGTCCTTGACATTGGCCATGGCCAAGATGGCTTCCGTCTGTCAGTCACGTTCTGTGACCGCGAATGTGACGGCGCCCCTCCCAGCCGGCTTATTACATGCGTATGAATGGCTGCTGCAGAGAACAGACCGCCGCTGTCGTCGCGGTCGTCGTGTAAGACTGCGGCCGTCAGACCGAGCCCGATCGGTGCTAGCGGGTGAGAGTAATGGCAATAATTCCGCCAAACCGGCGGGGGGTAGGAAATTCGACGTCAAGTTGCTCAGCTCACAGCTTCCTGCGCTTAGGTAGGCTTGATTTGGTTTGATTTGGTTTGCTTTGGCTTGCTGCAGCTGTTGCACCTGCACTCTCACTTTCACTTTCACTTTCACTTTCACTTTGACTTGCACTTGCACTTCGAGGTGAAGTGCAAGGCAAGGAAGGCAAGACAAGCACTGCGTAATAGTCGCTGCTGCATCTTTTCTAGACACGCCCTACCCTGCGCCTGCCCTGCCCTGTCGCGCCTTCCACGCGCACCACGACACTCCCTGGCGCCGGCGCCGTCGGTTGCAGTGTCCGTGCCCTTGCCCAGATGGAAGGTCTCCACATTTTGACTCCTCCTCTCTTTTGCGCCAGCTGCATATCACGGCGTGTTATGAGCTGGGAATACGCTACCGTACCTAGGTAGTATACGTGCCATCGTAGTTTGGTAGTCATGCTGCTTGATTCATTGGTTGACGGCTCGGAACCTGGGTACCTCGTGCTTCTTCTGCGAGCAACGAAGGTATCCTCCCCGCTACCGCAACCGCTACCGCTACCGCTACCTTACCTTGGCCTTCCACTCCTGACTCCTGCAGTCAGTCACTTGCATCTAAGGCACTTTCTGCATCCTGGTAAGGTATCTGACAATGCACGTCTTTCGCCCACTTCATTCCGAGCGGACCAGACCTCGTCCACACTGGACTCACTCAGGTCATGACAGTGCTCCAGTCAGTCTCCGAGGAGAAAAAAAAAAGTCGATGTTCTCACAGTCTCTGGTCTTGGCTGGCTTCTCGTAACCGTATGACAAGGGTATATCCCGGCTCCATCTTCTGTCCGTTTTGTCGTTTTGTCGTTTTGTCGTTTTGTCGTTTTGTCGTTTTGTCGTTTTGTCGTTTTGTCGTTTTGTCGTTTTGTTCCGCTTCCCTGTTGCTTCCTATGAGGATGAGCAAGAGAGAGGGGAAAACACCTTTTTTTTTTTCTCCCCCCCCCCCTTCCCTTTCCCTTGGTCGTGCCTTTCCCCCCATCTCGTCTTGGACGCTGTCTCGACTGTCTCCCATCTGCTGCCGCTGCCACTTTTCTAATTCCACCACCCTCAACCCCGTGCTGCCTGAAGAAGAGTAGTGTGCTCGCCACACCCGAGGCACGTCCTCTGCCCCCCGCCGCTGTCGCCGCCGCCGCCTACCATCAACATCTTTTCTGGCTGGCTCTTGCATGCAAGCCGTCTTTCTCGTTTTCTGGGATTCGTCTGGTCCATGTCCCTGTCGCCGTCATTCTCAGTCACACTTCCCACCACTCCCAGACTTTCCCAGTCCCCAATCCCAACCCCAATCTCAATCCTAGTAACAGGAGGCCCTGTCCCGGTCAAGTCCATCCACCCACACCTACCTACGTACCCACCCTCTCAACCGTCCTACCATCCACCAATTCATTCCAGTCCCTCCCAGCCTTTCCTCCCCCTCCCCTCCCCTCCCCTCCTCCATCAGCGTCGCGCTGCGCCGGGACATCTGCACCTGTAACCTGGCTGCACCTCCTCTGCGCATGCGCATGCGCCAGCCCGGTCAAGTATTCGGCAAGGTACCTACTGCGTAGCGCGAGAACCAGCCTAGCCCGGTAGCTCTAGTGTTAGTTAGCTCTAGCTGGGCATCGACATTACCCAGCTCCAGGCCCCTACCAACGACTCTCGCATCGCACCTGATGCGACCCTGTTTGCTGCGCGCTATCCGACGCCGCCATCACCAGTCGCAATCTCGAGTATCGCGGGGCCCAGCTCCTCGTCGACTCGACTCCAGCTTCACAGATCAGACATTAGAGATCTGTACTCCAGAACACGTTTTTGAATACCCCGGCGTAAAAATGCACCTGCTCTTCTCTGCTCTGCTCGCTGGCCCTTCGTCGACGACGCCCTGGGACAGACAGGGACTTTCGGAAAAGTCGGAAACACAGGAGCGGCGCATATCCAACAACCCAACCGTACACTAGAACCAGCCTGCTTTTGTTCTGCTGCTGCTGATTCATTCCGCCTGAGCCATCGTCTCCGGCGCATCGTCATCGTACCTGACTTGGAAGACGACGTTTTTCTCTTCTGCAAGATACCCCGTACCTTGTTTCCAGTTTGCACATACTATTTGCGGACTCGCATTTTCTCACACGCCCCCTCTCACTCTCAACACACTCTCGCGCAAACCCTTGGTTGTCGAGCACAGAAGTCGCCCAGAAAGGCATACGGCTGCAAGTTGACAAGCGCAAGCATCCGACTACGCCGCCGCCGCCTCGCTGTCGCTGTCGCTGCTCCTTGCTGCTTCTCTTCCTCTGCTGCTTGCTGACCTATCCATCATCACGCAGTCACGCAGTCCTTGCCTAGGTTCCTTCGCTTTTGCCTCAGTCTGCCAAGCATCAGGTACCTGCGGACTCTGCCCGCCAACCCCAAACGCCAAAAGTACAGTCTTCCACGGTTAATATTATCCTAGCAAGACCTACCCGGGGCCAATCAGCAGGGCTTTTCGAGGTATCGACGAGGGTACGGAACGTCTCACGTTTTAGTACCTCAAAGTCGTAGTATAAAAGCTGATCTATGCCGCGATACTTAAAATCTGTTTTTTCGACTTCTTCGTCGATCTGAGCTAGGTGCCCTAGTTCGTCACTGAGGGCGGTACCGACAGGGCAAAGATTATGCTGGAGGACTGTACAAAGTACTTGCACAAGTACTTTCTTCACCCACCCGACGGCAAGATACCACACACCTACCTCATCCACCCTACCTACCAGCCGACCCTGCCTTGCCGTTCTCAGTCGCCCACTTCTCTCCGTCCATCCATCATCGACCTTATCCTTACCACGCAGCATCTTTGCGAACACCAGCCAACCATCCGTCATCTTCCCTCCTTCACCACCACGCGCTCGCGCATCTCCACTGGCGACGACCTCTACATTCCTCGCCCACACTCGTCCCTCGCCGTCGCCAACTAGAGGGGCACTCATCAACTTTTTTTGTTTTTGTCCTCTCCCTCTCTGCCTCTTCGCTTTGACTGAGCCTGTCTGTCTCTTCACTTGCCGCGCGACAACTACCCGCCCGAGGCAACAATTTCGCCACACGATTCTTCGCATCTTACATAGCAGGCCTCACACAGGCCCTCTTCGCGAAGGAATCTTCCCGCCGCATACCCCACGGCCAGGACACAGACCCTACCCATACTCTATTGAGTTCTACGGCTTGGTTGTACCGGCGCTGCAACTCAACTCTTTGCATTTTCATCTTGAATTCAAACTTTTCTTAGCTATACACCCCTCATCCCCCCTTCACTGCCTGCCTTGCGGCAAGAAGAGCGAACGAGACGGAGAGGCACGAAAGCTTCCATTCGACTTCTTCCCAGGCCGCTCCCCCTACCTGTTATTACTCGACACCTCCCGCCAGGGACATATCAGAGGTTTGCGCCAACCATATGCACGCATAACCTTGCCCTGCATCGCCCAGCGCACCACCCCCAGACTCAGTGTCGCCCTTGACCGCGACCCGGCCGGAAGGCAATCCAACTATATCAAGACACGTCGTCGTAGACCTTCTTTCCTCAATTTTGCTGCTGCTGCTGGGAGACGTTTTGCGCGCTCAATGTACTCCACTCAGCCGAACGGAGCTGATAGTGCGACAATCAATCCGGCTGCCCTCAACTCACCTGGTATGTTGCTTATTTGCTCTTAATGGCCCCCCCTCCCCAGTTTCACTTCCCCCCCGCCCACTACCCAGCCTCAGCCTGCCTGCCTTGCCGCTAGCCGTCATCGCATTCCGCAGCGAGGCCCTGTTCGTCGGTGTCGGTAACAGATAATACCGGCGCAGTCGCTTACGCCTCTCTCTGTCTTGCACCATGGCTGCGCCAGTTTCTGCGTTGTTATCCCGCAATGAATGTGCTGACGCCTCCGATTATTGACAAGACCTCCTAAACGCCAGCCTCCGCGGTATCAAAAGAAGTCGATCCCCCGACAGTTTCCTCGAAAGAGCCCCTGCAGGCGGTGCCGGTATGTTTCCTTAATCTTAGCGATCAACCCCAGAATGCTTGTGCTGTTCATCAAGCGCGCGTGTCACCTCCAGGCTCCTTCCCGCAGCGCGCAACGCAATACAAGCTAACATCTCGTGCGTCCTCGCAAGGTGACTCCAACCCGAGAAAACGTGGAAAATCTTTGAAGGGGAGAACCTCCGAGACTGCCGGTCAGGCCCCCGTTAGCAACATGCCTCAAACCATCCCACCACCGCAGACCCCCCAAAACCAGGCCGCGCCGTTGCCAGGAGGGCAAGCCGTTGCCTACGCGCCTGCGCAAGCCTCCCCCCCGCCGAAGACTACTCCGACGAAGACCACGCTGAAGGCCCTACCGACCGTGAGAGACCACACTACCGACCAGCTCAACGCCGCCGGCGACGAATACCTACCGAGAGAGATCGATGAATTTGGAGAGAAGAAGGTGATGCCCAACGGGCAGCTTTTGGGCGGTCGTGAATACAAATGCCGGACATTCTTGGTCCCTAACCGTGGCGACAAGCTCTTCATGTTGGCCACGGAGTGCGCAAGAGTACTAGGATATCGTGATTCGTACTTGTTGTTCAACAAGAACAGATCGCTCTACAAAATCATTGCCAGCCAGCCCGAAAAGGACGATCTTGTCAGCCAGGAGATTTTACCGTTTTCGTATCGGTCACGACAGATTGCCATCGTCACGGCACGATCCATGTTCAGGCAATTCGGCAGTCGCGTCATTACCAATGGCCGAAGAGTCCGCGATGACTATTGGGAAACCAAGGCACGAAAGCAAGGCTTCACCGAAGCCGACCTCGCTGGTGAGAAGCGTCCCGGGGCCGCCAAGGCCAGAGAAGCTGCCGCCGAGGCGCAGAACCAGGTCATGATGGGAGGTCCGCACGGAGAAATCGTTTACAGCAACACTCCCAGCCAGTTCCCCGGCGCCCCCCAACCCCAGATCGTCCAACCAGGTATGCTTGGAGCGCCAACCGGAACAACGACCAGAATGCCCGTGATAACACTAGGATCAGAGCTCAGTGACAACCGCCCTCGTGATTACAGCGGCATCCTCAAAGGCGGCCCCCGCCAGGAAATTACCGGCCCGGCTTACCAGGACCAGACACGCCCTGCCCAGATTGGAGAGGTTCACGCCCAGGCGCACCACGCTGCTGAGTACAACCGTTCGCTCAACCAGCAACGTGACATGCGTGGAGACTACCTTCAGGGCATTTGGAGAAGACCGCATGAGCAACCCCAATCCTCAAACCTGGCGCAAGCTGTAACTACAAGCGACGCGGCAGCCCCGACGACGCGTGCAACGCAGTCACCCCACACATCTGCCAGTGGCATGCCACAGTCTGGTATTGTGCCTAACCAAAGCCCGCAAATGATGATGACGGCCCCGCCTTACTCCCAGTCGATACACGCGCAGAATCCGATCAGTCAGGCTCCGATGAGAGGTATGGCCCAACCATCTTCCCAAAAGAACAACAAGCCAACGACTTTGCCTGCAGCAGGGAGTGCGAGCAATATGCCGCAAGGGGCTCAGGGCTACCACTATCCTGCGTCCGGCCAAATGTGGCCCCAGACACAACAAACGCCTCAGCACAACTACTCGGGCTACACAACGCAGAACCAGCAGTCGCATCAGCAATCACCAGCGCCTCAGCTTCGGCACGCGACGAGCGGTGTCCAGCCAGCGATGCAATTTCCCGGCATGCCTGGTATGGGCCAGAACTACGGTGCGGGCCAGGCAATGTACCCCACAGACCAGACTCCTCGCCAGTACATGCCTCAACCGAACCAAGGTTCTCCAGCGGTTACGCAGGCGTGGTCGAACCAACAGACACCTGCACAGTGGTGGACAAACCAACCCCAATGAACTTAAGAAACACGACGTCATCGTTCTTTTGCCCTCTCATGCTCTTCATCTTGTCAGTATTTTGGCAACAATTCTTAGTTTCGTTTCTCTTATATACGCGGCGGCGACTCCTGACTTTCGCCGGTTTGGCAGGCTTTTCTGCTGCCCTCTGAAGGATACCCAAGCATACAGTTAGGTGGAGGCTATGTGCTTTTGGGCCGCCGGCCTGTCAGTCTTCGTACAGCATTTTGGCCGAGAAGGGATGAATAGAGGAGTCGCAGGGGACCCGGGAACACATCATCTCAGGTCAGGAGGGGAATTGCTTATCACTGTACTGCGTTTTCTGTTGGTTTCTTTTTGGTATCTGCATCATGGGAGGATGCGTTCCTGTTTGCAATATTGGTTGGCCTTGTATCCGATTTCTTTTGACTTTATTACCACTCATCGACAACGTGTTTCTGTCTCCCCGACTTTTTGTTGTGTTTGGTTTCCTCGCCGTGGGCACGCGGGCAATTTCGACTTCAATTTGATACCATCGTCTTCTTGTCGCCGACTCGCCTCGCGCACTGTGTTAGTTAGTCCTTCTCATCCTCTCGAATACGATACCATACGAACACACCGTCCACGCGTCTCTTCTCCTGCCGCGCGGCTGAAGTAGCGGAGGTTGACTCAGCAGCAAGTTTAGTGGACTACGAGTTAAGCGCACTGAGGGTATTCTCACGACATCGGTCGCCATCAGTCAGCGCCAGCCACAGTGGGCAGGCTTGACAAGGAAGATCACGATCTTTTGCCTAGTCGAGCACTTGCAGCAATTTCGAGTCGAGATCTAGCTTTGAGGGACAGCAACTAGCACCTCAACTTGACGAATGGCAGTTCCCCTAGCTGTCTGGGTGGGAGGCTACCACACTGGCCCGTGCCGAACGACCGGCAACTTCCCCGACTTGGGTTCAAGGTTGTCACGAAAGCGAAGAACCGCGGAGGCGACAAAGCTCAGGGGATAAGTCGCGATATAGTTTTAAGGTTTGCTTGTGGTCTGGGGTATACCCTTTCTCCCAGGGTAGCAGGATCGCATTTGCTCTTGAGCGGTCGACATGGACGAGGACCCCTTTCCATCTGCATGTCGGCAGCCAACTTATATTGGCCTTGTTTTATCTTTGTGTCGGCCGACACACGGCAGCATTGGTGGGAGTTGCGCTGTGTACTTGGTGATGGGACGTGATATTCGTCGTCACGGTTGGGAGGCCCTACTGAGAGGGTTCGGCGGGAAGCGCCATGATGTGCGGCATCCGGTAACGATTGTTTTCGTTTCTTTCCCTCTCTACTTTTTCTCTCGCGAGGGATTTCATGGCATGGATGGAAATGGGTCTTATTGTTTGCATGGAGCTGCGTCGATCGAGCACTTGCTTTTGTATTCAAAGCTCTTGACACTTCTGTTTTACGATCTATTTCGTCGCAACTACTACGGCTATGTACTTGAAGATGGAGAAAGAAGAGGTGTTCTTGGACATCCGCGGAGGTTTTGTAGTCTCGAATTAATGCAAACGAGTGGTCTTTCTGTTTTCCTGATCTCACTGTCCCATTCTGTAAGTCCTTGCCCGAGGTTCCGAAAAGGCTTGTTCGCGAATGCGCACGCGAGCATCATTCCAAACGACCTTTTCACTACCCAGAAATATCCTCTTGTCTTCTGTAGAAGATTCATCCGCCGTAGCAACTATTTTTATGAAGCATCTGTGCTCACCTGTTTCTGTGTCGGTAACAGCCTGGTCCGGTGGCTGGGGGCTTTCTCCTCCTCGCATGTGCCATCTGGTCGTTTGAGTTTGTAGTCTGTCCAAACCAGAAAGGCTCGTTATCGGGACGAAAGCCCGTTTGTGAGACGAGGATGACAGTGTTTAGCGCCCGGCCCCAGTGGGGTATCTGTAATAAACATCGCCTTCCTTTTGGCTTCTTCCCATTCTTCGATGGTTCAGGATAAAAAGGGGACGAAAAAGCGTGTTTTTTTTTTTTTTTTAACCACCTCCCCCTTCCCCACCCACGTCCAATCTTTTTCTTAATTCTTTTTTTTTCCCTTGCGGCTTTCTTTAGGCTCCCCCCGTCACTTTCTGCTTTCCTCTTTCGTCTTCCCACCCTCCCCGACTGTGGCACCGAGGGGTTCCGCCCCCCTGCCCCTCCCTCCTTCTCTCTCTCCACCCTCGTTCTTCTCGCTCTCTCTGTCCTGCCCTCACCGCGCTTGACCTCCGTTCGAACCCCCCCCCCCCCCCCCCCCCCCCCCCCNCCCCCCCCCCCCCCCCCCGTGTCTCGTACATGTTCGGGCTTGAGCGGTCCAGGTCGATGGCAGTATGCTCCATGAAACTCTCGGCCGAAGCCTGAAGGTCGAAACGGCGAAAACGGAGTGGTGGAAGAAGACAGGCAGGTGGATGTTGCTCTCGGCGAACAAGTAGCGTAGCGTGTTGACATTTGTTTCCCTTCGTCTTTGTCTCATTTGATCAGAAGCTGGAAGAGGAAGAGAAATAGGCTCTGTAGATTCACAAAAGTCGAGATATTCGGATCCGCCAACCGGCGGGAGAGTCGGCAAAGACGGGGTGCGGGGCACAATGTGGCGCGCTTCCACACGGCATGAGCGGGCTTACATCAGACGGGAGACAGGAGGCAATTTATTCATCGCATACAGAAAAGCCTAGTCTCCGCTGGGGTGAGAGGGGAAAGCACCGTCGCATTGGCAAGCCAGCAGATTTTGCGATAGGGTCGTCAGAATTCCCAAGGGGATCTGGCAGCATGCAAGGAATAGGGCTGGGAACTGCAAGGACGACGAAGATTTGGCCCTGAGACATGCAGAAACGATGATCTGTCTAGTCTTCGGAGCCGACCGGAAATCATATTTCGTCCATTGAATTCCAGACCCGACGAAGGTTTGAGTCTGTTTGTAGCGGCGAAGACTTGCTCCTACTCGTAATTAGGGCCCGAGAGAAAGAACGGGTGACACAGACACAGCTGTGGAGAGACAGAGACCAAAAGAGGTTTATGACGGGTTTATGTGGGATGTTTCGTCTCGTCTGAATCCGCCATTGGGGGTTAAATATAATGAGTGGGAGGGAAGGGGGGCGGTGGTGTGTGTATGTCCTGAACATGTGGCCAGCCCCATCGCCGGAGGAACTCTTGGGGGAGAGAGTATGGCGCGTGGGAAAGGAAAACCACAAGAGATGTACGAAAAGGGAGTCGAAAGGAGAAGGTCGAGGCGAACTGTGGAAGAAGAAAAAGTGAATTTTAGGCTGAATGAAACGAAACAATGGATTGGCTTTTTTTTTGTTTGGGAGGAAAACCAAACGTTCGGAAAGGCAACGAACAGGCGGCGCCAATCAGAAGTTGGGTTGTCTGCCTTTTTTTCTATTTATTCTTTTTTTTATTTATATAACGGCTTTCTTCTAGATCGTCATCGTCCCGTGTGTGCTACTCGCTGGTTGTCTTTCAGTCTGCAAGAAAAAAAAGACACGTGACTGAGCATGAACGAGACCGGAGTTCGGTTGTGGGGTAGTCTGTTGTTAAGCTATTTTGTTTTCATATTCCTTTTTGACTCAGTTTCCTTGAACGTTATTGTTGTTGTAGGTAAGCTAGGAACGGAACTCAGAGGGGGGAGAGGGGAGGGGGGGTCGTTCTCTGGGAACTGGTCACTTGGCAAGTTTACCATCTTTCAAGCGGAGCTGACATGGCTATTGAGAAAGTTTATCATGACTCCGGGAACCCACGTGATAGTGATGTTGTTTTTTGGAAGTGGTTCCGCAAGAGCCCGGAATCGGGTATAGACAGAGAGATGTGAAAGGCAATAGGTAAGAGAGAAATAAGGATTATTCGACTGGGTGAGTGGCCAAGCATGGGTGGATGCGCAGGAGAGGGATGACACTAAGTAAATGAACAGATCATGAATGTGGCACACATCAGTGCTTCATTTCCGCTTCGAGGACTTTTGATAAACACATGCGAGATGCTGTCTATATGAACGTGCCGACGCCATCGCCCACGAACACCGCTTGCTTCGCTAACACCGTATGCAGCTCCAGCTGGCATCAGAGTGAGGCACCGATCATGCCTCCGCTGGTCTGTGGTGGTCTTCGCGTACTAATCGCTCTCGTCGCCGTCAATCGCCTCGTCGACATCCTCCTCATCGCCTTCCTCCTTCTCCTCCAAAGCATCTTGCGTCTCCTCACCGCTGCCTTCACCCTCATCCTCGTCCTCGTCTTCTTCTTCCTCTCCCTCCTCGTCTTCGTCTTCGTCCTCGTTGGCCTCCTCTTCGGGTTCCGTCTCAGCATCGTCAGCGTCGTCGACGGTCATGGAAGACTCGTCAACGCGGGCCTTCTTCGCCCTAGGGGCGTCACCGTCGGCAGAAGCAGTGCTGATGATGCTATCGTCTGCAGTTGCGGCGGCGGCTGCAGCCCCAGCGCCTCCTGCCGCAGCGCCTACTGCTGCGCCGCCCTTCTTGGCGGCGACCTTTTGGCGGTATGANGCGACTCCTGCCGCAGCGCCTACTGCTGCGCCGCCCTTCTTGGCGGCGACCTTTTGGCGGGATGAGGAGCGCTTCGCAGATTGTATCTGGTTGAATTCTGGACAGACAGTCAGCGGCTGAGCCTCGAGCACATGCGGGAAGGTGCCAGGTGGTATTAGGCAGGCTGAGGCTCGGATGGTTGATGAAGTGATGGTCGTTTTCGTATCGTGAGTTGGAACCTCGGGTTTGACTCACTCGCAAACTCCTGCTCCAAAGGCTCTCGCAGAAATCCAAACTCAATGTCTTCAAGAGCTTTGAACACATCTTCAGCACTAACAGTCTTTTTGTTGGCATTGACAGTATTTTGGTTAGCGCTTCAGTCACACAAAGTCAGCCATCAGATCCTTCCACGATAACAAGCCCATGTCGGGGGCACATGTGCTTCACGGGACACATCTTTCAAGAACATTCATCAAAGGGGGTTGTCTTGGTGAACGCACTGTGCTGCAAGGTAGTTGATGAAGACTGTGGCGCTCTTGCTCATTGCCAAGACAGCGTTGGCCTGGATCTGAGATTGTGGAGGTAGCACACCCTTGGCCAGTCTTGTGATGATGGACTTGGGTAAGTTAAGGTCCTGACGATGTGTAAGCTTAGTATTCACTCCTCTTCTGCATGTGTCTGTCTCTTCCTCTCCTGTGTAGCGAGATACACGTGAAAAGTCAACACATACTTCAATGGTAAGGGAATCCTTGTCAGCCTTCTCCTTCGGTGCCTTCTCAGAGTCCTTCTTGTCAGATCCAGCGTTCAAGACTGTCGTCATCGTGAGAGGTGTTGATGAAGATGCCTTGGCTGACTCGGGTGTGGACTTCGCTCCGGCAGCGGCACTGGAGGGCGCCGCCGAGACAGCAGCGGTGGAAGCGGCGGCGGCGGGAGTTGCGGGAGCAGCGGGAGCCGGTCCCGTGGTCGGGGTGGTGGCCGGGTCCTCGTCCATTACGGCGAATCGGGCGGTGGAGACGTCGCTCCTACGGTTGGCGTTGCTTTTGCGCGGAGGCATTTTGTGTCAGTTTGTCTGTGTGGGTGAAGTTTGCGGGTTGTGGGTAAGAGAGGTGTTGTACGGTGGTTGGGTGGTGGTTGGGTGACCGGAGAAAAAAGACCAGGCACGGATTGAGTTTGCGATGCACGCGGGCAGCTCGTTTCTGCGAGACGATGTCGCGCGGGAGGTGCGGTGAGAGAACGTGGCGTAGCCGTAAACGCGGGCGTGGATTGGTGAGAAGTTGAAGTTTTTCACCCAAGGACGGGCTGAGTGCTGCTCTGGGCTGCTTCTCAGGGGAGACCAGGGTCAGGTTGGGTTGTCTTTGCGGGATGCGCCGTGGTTGTCGTTAGCCAGCGTCGGGTTGGGAGGTGGACGTGAGAGTTTGTTGGGAATTGAAAGAGACGGAGCTTCAATTCAACTCAAACCGCATCGCATGGCCGTCGATCGCTTCCGCAGGTGGAGCGTGAGAATGTCACTCAGGCACGGAAAGGGGAGGTCGAGGGAGGCTCTGGTCGTGAGAGTAAGGTAAGGTAAGGTTAGGTATGTGAAGGTAAGGAAGGCATGGATGGTATGTATGGTGTGGCGGGTGGAGACTGCAACGGGAGTGAGAGCCAATGTGATGTGAACTGCAACAACTGCACCCGGTGCTGCTGCGACTGTGCTTGCCCGTCGTCGGCCAACGTATCCGTACAGCCAGCCTACCTAGGTAGCGAATTGACGACTCGCCGGCGCGTCGTGCGCTGCAAGGTAGACGCGACTTTTCGAGTGCCTACCTACCTTACCTACCGTAGGTAAGGTAGTGCTCCACTATCACAGAGCACACGCGTAAAGTGCATTTCGATCTCGCTTATGCCCCAGGCCCATTTTAATTACGCATCTCACTGAACAACATCACCTCTCACTTCACTACTACACTCTTCAACATGTCCTTGTCGTATTCAAGTCTTTCTCCAAGGAAATGTTGGAACCCATCCCACGATGGAAGCCCCCAATGATTTTGATGATTTCGGGGAAATGACGATTTCATGTGCTTCTCTTTACCATCTCATCTTTAGCTCCTGCACCCGTCGCACTTAACGACAACGAGAAGCATCTTCGCGAACCTCAAGGCTGCGAAGCGAGGAGCGCGAGATGCCCTCTTCATCATGTGCCCCTTATCCGACCCACCATGAACATCGCTGCTGTCCGCATGGTCGAAGCTCTTCCGGACGAACCAACCTGAAGCCGCCCGTCGGCGTCACACCCCGCTCTCGCAGACAATAGTCGCCAAGAAGTCGCGAACTCGCATGTGAGAGAACTTTTATCGTGGATGCATCAGGCAAAGGCTGGATCACGCCAGCCCATCTCCCCCCCAAAGAGACTTACTTGATCGAGGACATCTGTCAAAAGAAGTCAAACCCCGAAGAAAAGCAAACTCAACCTCGGAGGCACCTGTCAACTACTGCAACCCCCACACACATGCATGCCCCCCGATTTGGGCCTGCATCGAGTATCTAATCGAACGACTTTTCCGACGATGCTGGCAATCTTGGCTCGACAAGCCTCTGGGACTGTGCAACGATCTGCCGTCCACAATCCCTCATCTGCCTTACTGCCCAGCCATCCACAAACTGAGCTTGGCGAACTTAGTATTCCCGAAGAAATCGCTCTCTCAAAGTGAACCCTTGTCTACCCCGCCCCGTCGCCGCTTTGCCAACCTCCGCTGTCATTCGCGCACCCATCCGACGACGAAGCGCGGTGTTTCACATTGGGCCCGTCATCGCATCCCTCATGCTGGGATGGCATCTGTCGCAGGCGTGGCTTGCCGCCCCTTCTTCTCCCGTGCGTGCGTGGGACCAACAATGCGGAAACCTTGGTCACGATACCAAGAAGGAATTGCCTTTCCTGACGAACGCTGGGCAACGTCGGAGCCGTCCACCATCGTGCCCTCCCCCACCTTCTCAGGGAGCTGTTTGTTTCACTAATAATGGATTTAGCGGTGTGCTCAGCGCCATGACTGACGTTGGGAGGCGTTTCTGCTTACTTGGGACGACAGGTCGTCGTCGTCGACCCCTCACGGTACGCAACAAGTTCCTCATTGGGAGGGAGCTAACAATGACTTGCATGCCGTGATCGCCACCACGATGCTACACCATGCCTGCACGAGGATGAGATGGTTCGCTAGGCTATGGTCAAAGTTATTCTGGTCACTGAAGTCACTGACGCGGCACGGTTGACATCGCATGGGTAGAAGAAGATGGTTTGTATAAATTGTATTCTTTGCGATCGGGCTCTTTCGTCCAACTTATGTGTGCCCTAGTGTCATAAAGATAAGGAAAATTTGGCTGCCTTTGCAGCTTCTGTGATGAAACCGTTCGTAGGGGTATTTCCGTCCATCACCAATCCGATGTTGGTGTTTCGAAGATCATGGCTCCGTAAGACAAAAGGAAAATGAGATGCCGTCTCAGCATCTGTGTATCTTCACCATGGACTCAGTCCATGTAGTGTACTGCTGTATGCTCATTCAGTGAAGAAGAACATTTGAGAGGAGTGATGCGTATGTGTGCCTCGCGCCTAACAGAGTCTCCTGGCTAAGACGTTTCATCGAAGCCATCGGAAACCAAAAGGTTCGACGGCGGCAGCGGTGGCAACTGGTGTTGTCCGGGTACGTTCTTGGATAAGGCAAAAGCCGTTCCCGAGTAACCCCCATCTCACTCGTGTGGTACCAAGTCGCACACAAAGGTGTTGTGATATGTTTGCCATCCATCGGTTTGTGAAACAAGTGCTCACAAGATAGCACCCCGCACTTTCCAGGCCTGCGGGAATAGCGCAAGAGCTGAAACGAACGTGGGTTGTGGTTGCGTGCGGCGTCGTATGTTGGTAGCCGCAATCGTTTGCAGGGGTTTGTGCAATAAAAGTAGGTAGTAAAACACGCACTTCGCCAGGGGTGTGACTCCTCGGCGAAGGCAAGAATTCGAATAGAAGCTTCAGCCTACGGCAATGCCAATCTCAGATTGCCGGAGATAGGGTCGGGGGGAGAGGCCACCCATGCGTACTTCCTCGTCGAGAGACAGCCGCGGAGGGATCGAGGAGTCGGAGTAGATCCGCTGGTGCCTACCATCAGAGTGCGCAGATGAAGGCATGTGGGCGTAATGGTCGATGGAGCCTCGTGGCGAGAGCTCCACATCGGTCTGGTAGCCGAACCAGTGGTCTCGTAGGCTGCCAACGCTGGCACTGCTGCGGGAGCTGCGGTGTCTGCCGTGCCCATTGCGGGGTGAGAGTGGTGGCAGTTTGGAAAGCCTCGAGTTTTGGCGCTTCGGTGAAGGGAGGAAGGCGGCGTCTCCCTCGATTGTGTCGTCAGTCAGACCGACGCGAGCATTGGGCGCCCGAGCGAGGACGGGAGTGTTCGGAACATCCATACTCTTCTTGTCCATACTGCGCTTGTGATACAGAGAACGAGGGGAAGTCTCGGACGAGGCACGAGACTGGTTCGAGTGGTGGTGATTCTGGTAGACGATCACGCTGGGCGGCTTGCGGACAGTGGGGGCCGGATCGTGCTTGTCAATGACGATCGTCGTCGATTTCTCAATGGCTCGATTGGCCTTCCAAGACTCAATCTCCTCGTCGTCAATGGGCGTACATCCGCGTTGACTGAATGGGCCCCTTCTGCGCCAAGGGGCGAGAGGGAGACGGCCGTAGCGGTAGCGGTAGCATAGGCAAATGGTGAGGACGATGAGCGCAACTCCAAGTACCGAGAGTACGGTACTGAGGGCGATGACGAGGCTTCGGTCGCCCTCGAAGTTCTGTGCGTTGCCAGTCATGACCCCTTGCTGGTCCGTCAACGAGGTTGAGCTTGGTGCAGCCGGCGCCGGAGAGACTGGAGGTCTGCTACCGGCATCAGTTGGTTGAGCAGGCGGTAACGTCTGGACAGGCGGATTTGTCGTGGGAGGCGAAGGCGGCGGCGGCGGCAGTACAACGATAGACGTGGATGAACTTTGCGGAGGAACGAAGATAGGAGTTGATGAACTCTGCGGTGGCGGCCTTGACGGTGGTGAACTCGGTTGAGGGAAGCTCGGCACAGAGAAAACGGGTGTTGAGCTAAAGCGAGGAGGAGGTTTAGGAACAGGTAGGGTCGCTCGGGGGAGGCTGGGTGTTGAAAAGGAAGAAACAACGGAAGCCACTGGTCGTGAAGTAGAAAATACAGGAACAAGTAGAGACGTCGTCGGAGATGGTCTGATCTGTGAAGAAGTTGTCGGAGGGGGCGCCTGGGGAGTGGTCTGCAGAGGAGGGGGTGGTGGTGGTGGTGGAGGTTGTGGTTGCTCCGGGGGAGGTGGTGGCGGAGGGGGCGGCGGCGGCGGCGGCGGCGGCTCCTCAGGAGGTGGAGGAGGCGGAGGAGGCTCTTGATGAGGAGGCTCCTCTGGCGGCGGGGGAGGTGGTGGTGGTTCCTCAGCTGTCACGCCTGTGAGTTGAGTTAGCATCAAAGTTCGATACACGTAAATGAGATGAAAGACGTTAGGAAATGTTCAGAGGAATCCGAAGAGTGGGTGATTTAGTAAAGATGTGTATGTTCGGAGGCGATCGGAGGTCGGTCACTGAAGTAAGAGTAACATAAAACACAGGTGTAGCGGCCGCTTGAGAGTGAAAATTCAAAGCCCTGTGCTCTGTGCTGTGCTGTGTGATTAATACTGGGTGCTCTTTCCAAGACCGCACCTTCTCTTCCTCCGCCACCTTTGGCTTCTTCCAAGCCGTTGTTGATGGTTCCGTCGGTAGGTGCGTCGACTCGGCCCGGTCCAAGTACGGCGGGCAAGGGTTCGGTGTTGGTGCCGGGTGCAAGCTCCAACTCTGGGTTTACAGACGGACCTTGGTCTCTGCTTTTACCCTTTCCTTTCCCTTTTCCCTTGCCCTTCCCCTTTCCAAGTCGTTCATCTTCATCGTTAATGGTGCTGTCGATTCCCTCGTCTGCGTTGAGCAAAGATGCTCTGCTTGGAGTTGAGCGACTCGCGAGCCATGCCGTTACCAAGAGATATCTCATTGTCGACATATTACCATTCGTCCCTCCGTGTATTGTATGGGCCAGCCCGGTAGAATCTCCGTTTGTCGAATATCACTGCACACAAAATTACGTCCCAGCGTGGCAAGTAAACGCCTACGCCAGGGACAAGTCCCCAACGTCGAGTACTGGACTCTCCTCTGTCGAGTGAGGCGAAATAAGACCACTTGGGCGAGAGAAGTAGAAGGAAATAGAAATAAACAGTTAGGAAATAAGAAGGAGAGGGTAACAAACGGTTCAGGCGGGTTGACCTTGAGACCAGGTCAAGATGACGATTTGGGTGAAGTGAGTGAGGTTCCACAACTCCAAGCAGGACACTTGGAGCCGGTTGGCGCTGGAGACCTTCAAAAGAAAAAGGAAAGGAAAGGGCTGGAGACGAGAGAGGAGGCTCGCGCAGAGAGACCAAAGGGGAGAATGGTGGACGAGACCCCGGGTTATGTACGAAGTGCAGCTGCGCGGTGTAGAAAAGATGTGAAAGGGTACATCCATGGTTCCTTGGATGCGGCACTTGCGGCAGGACTAACATGGGGAGGACGTGTACCGTAGTACCTCAGCAAGTAGGTATTGTGGTGTGGTGTGTGTGGTGGTGGGAGGTGGCACCTTGGACCACTCCGCAGCCGTCCATCCAACCACTTGCTGGGTACCTACCTAGGTAGGGTAGAAAGACGATCCAGGCATGTATGTGCACTTGTACACTCACAATGGCGCCCTATTTTGTATGGCCTTGGCTTGGGCTGCAGATGGAGGCGTGGACAGCCAGCAAGAGGGAAGGAAACATGACAGCAGGGTACAGAGTACGAATTCCCTGTAGGGATAAGCTGTACACCCGTGCACCTGCTTGGAGGACGGCATGTGAGTTGAATAATCCCGCAGGAGACATATTCGGCGGACGCATCTGGGGGCTCCCATGGTGCAGGCCCTCAGAATAAGGTAACGAGTATGAGGAAGAAACAGAGTGCCAGAAGAGAGCTCTCACAGACGGAGAAACAGAGAGGCCTTCTCTCGGTCTGGCAGATTCTGAAGCGGAGCGGGCGGCGGGCGGCAGCAGTACATAGTAGTGGGTGGGTGGAGGGGGACAAGTAACATGATGATGGTGGTGGTGGTGGTCAGTTGCGGGTTCCTATTCCTGTTCCTGTTCCTGTTCCTGGTTCTGTCCCCAGGTGTGTCGTGTCTGTGGTCATTGGAAGAGAAAGTGGTCCGTGGCTAGAGGAAGTGAGAAACGAACGAACCGCACTGCACGAAGCGAGTTCAAGGCAGTGGAGACGTGGATCCAAAGCGGGCCATCGGAGGTTGAGATGTGTCGGGGTTCTTGACCAGGGGGGGTTAGGGAGGGGGAGGCAGGGGGGTGTGAGCTGTGCGAAGCTGCTTGGTCTTGTCACAGTTGGTGTGGTGTTGAAAGAATCCTATCCGCCCGCCTCTATCCGTAGGTGCCTTCCTTAGGTAAGGTACAGAGTAGAGCAACACACCTACTATGGACAAAGTCTGGCTTTGCGCACTCAGGCCCAGGCACAGGCACAGCACACAGCACACAGCACACAAGAACAGGGGTGCAAGTTGGAGAAAGAGGGGGTGAGGGGGGGAATAGCGTTTTGCTGTACCTGAGCTGCCACGGGAGGCCATTGGCGGACGGGTCATGTTTCTAATTTTCGACTTGGGTGACGGGCACACTGGACTGGACTGGACGGACGTGGATGGCACCGATGCAACCTGGGTCACAAACCCAAACCATCAGCCTTCCCTTCCGCCCTCAGCTCGGCTGCATTTCTCAAAGCGAGGTTCCCTGCTGTCGCCATTTGGCGTTTTAGTCTCACGATACAGCTGCCGCCTGGATGCCGATGACGAGAACGAGGTGAGGTGGACGACAAACACTCAGTCAAATGAAGAGCCTAACCAGACATCCTTCTAGACGGCAGCCGTGTTTCGCCCAACAGAACCCTTGTTTGCCTTATCTTCGACCCTGAACAAGGCCGAATTGGTAATGTGAGGCTGTTCAGGCTGGGAAATACTTGGTTACAGCGCAATGGCATGGCCTGGATGGTGCCATGTGGTCTTGTGCTGATTTCTGACGGCATGTTGAAGGCCGCTCCTACGCAAGGTACAGCGATGGCGTTTAGACAGATCAGCCAATGACAGGCCATAAGCCCCCCTTCTCCGGACAGAGCTAAAGCAGGGCCAGAACGTGAAGCAGGCTTGGAGGAGGAGGAGGAGGTGGTGGTGGTGATGGTGGTGATGGACATGCAAGACAGCAGCCCAAAAAGCAATGGTTGCGCATGTAACCGTTTAACGAACAATGGCGCAAGAAAAGAAAGCTGGACGGAAAAGAGTCAATCCCGTCGTCGCCGCCCAGCCTTCGGACCCCCAGCAGCAACGTGAAAAAGATAGATCTCATGCAGACTTCTATGCGCAGGTGCAGCCAAGGACAGACCATGCAGCATGCAACAACGTGTATCCGTAAGGTAAGGCCCATCAAGTCCCGTCCCAACCCAACCCAACTTGCAGTGTGCCGCCGCTCGGTCCGGCGACGGCAGCATTGGATGATGCTAATTCGGGCTCAATGGCACATTGGCCTGCATGCGCACAGTTTGGTCCATCTGTTGATAGACTCCATTGTGTGTGTTGGAGGCCGAGACGGGAACACAAGAGAAAACAACAAATTCCAGGAAGCGGTGCCGAGGAACAAAACAAGAGTCTTGGCCTGAGTAACCTTAGGTTAGTCGGACGATAAACGTTCATGGCAGGCCTTGCCGCGGAGGATGAATAAGAAGAGGGAAGGACAGTCAGGACGCCCTGGCCGGCAAACGGCGCAAGAGCCAGGTCTGTCTGCCTCTAAAACATCTCAAGTATGGAAAAGCGCAAGGCAAAAAAAAAAAAAAAAAAAAAAAAAAAAGAAAANAAAAAAAACAAAAAAAAAAAAAAAAAAAAAAAAAAAAAAAAAAAAAAAAAAAAAAAAAAAAGGAAAGGCAACATAGTCAGTCAGTCAGTCAGTCACCAGTGGGAGGCTGGGATGTTGTACCCCTGCTCGACATAGGTATCTGAAGGGTAAGGTATCTTTGCTGGGAACTCCCTGCCTAGAGGTACCTTACTCAGCTTCCCCTCCGTTTTCTCATCTGTAGGTTCCTTGCCCTCCAAGCCTGAGGGCTTCGACTTCCACTTCTACTTCGACGAACACTACCAACAATACGTACTTCGTATCCAACTTCTGACCTCACTCGGCCACCGACCGCAAAGCCACATTCCGTTCCACGATCCGTCCAAACCCAGTACCTACCACAGACCTCGCACTCGTCAACTTGCGGTGAGGTTGTCGTCTTCAACGCCCGTGTCATCCATCGCCCGCCCGCCAAATAGGTACCTTACCTAGGTACCTACCTTACCCTGCCTTACCTGTGGCACGCCGTCTTTCTTGCCTTTGAGCCCGGCCATTCATTCACAAGCCCAAGACCGGCGCAATGGAATCGTCTTAGCCACCGACCGCAAGCTGAGGATGGCCGGGAACATCCCGTGATGGCCAAAAACCGCTGGACGACTGACTACCTGCCCGCTCGATCCATGGCACGCAACGGTGCAGATGGCGACTCCGATTGTAACAACGGCGACTGCAACCGCAACTGCAACCCCTCGCCTTGACCTCGCCCCTCACTGGAACCAACGCTCTCCGCCTGCAGGACAACGCAAAGCAACATCAACCTCTCGTCTTGCGCGAATCCCTTCCTCGACCCCTCGCTTCCATGCAAGCAATTTGTCTGTCGCCAGGGCCCTTGTCGCGTTCCCCGCAGCACGTTTCCTTGCCTGCTGTCCTGTCCGCCGCAACGCACGCACAACCACCACGCAACCCATCAGGCACGTCGCAGCCATCTGACGAGACACGACATCATGACAGCTCGTGCTGTCTGTCCTGCAGAGTCTGCCTGGATACACACATCAGAGGCTGTACCGCGCTTGTCCTGCAATGCAGTGAAGCGGCATGCACTGGGTCGTCTACTACGCCCGCCCATTGCCAATTCCGGTGTTGCAAAACCCGAGAACAATGATACCAAAGCTAGAGACCAACCACTGAATTTCCCTCGATGCTTTCCTTACACCCAAGCTATGGCGAACTGGACGTCGTGATCGCTTCAGGAACTCGATTGTGAAGCTGCGCAGTGCCTAGACTTGTGACCGGTCAACTATGGCGCCGGTCGCTGCCCGACTTGGGGCGCCTAACTCAAGTAGCCTGGGTCCCCCACGTCTTGCTCCCGAAGCGGTGAGCGAGTCAAGGAAGGGCTGGCACACACCAGACGACACTACGAATAGACGCCAGCCATACACACCACATACGAACCCGCCCGAGGGCTGGGTCTGGGCTCGGGAGCTGCCCTGGAACGGGATGGGATGGCATGGCCTAGTAGCCATGTCTACAAGCGTTGTGGTGTGTGTGTGTGTGTACGGATACCACCTACATCCAGCTTGCGACCGTTTCGCTGCGCCGGCTCAATGGATTTCCGACTCGTTTTTAGCATCCGTTGCTTGATCCTGTCGGCAAGCCTCGATAGCCGTTCGTTTTTTCCTCCGTCACCACCGGCGCGGGCACCAGCACGACCTCACTGTCAGGCTAGGGGGACAGAGAGACGACGGGCAAAGAAAAAGCAAAAAACAACGCATCGCGGGGAAATCAGCACATCGCTGCACGGCGCCACTCTGAGAGGCGCAACGCAGCATGTATGCAGTCCAATTAGACATGCCGTTCTCGCCCCAAGGAGCTGCGCTGAAACAACTCTCCGCTCCTCGGCGTGGTGGTGACTGATTGGCCGCGCTTCAACGCTATCAGGCCTCTCATCGGGTCTCATGCAAGGGGCATGGCAGATGGGCCATCTATCAACCACGACAATGGAGTGCCAAACTGAGTTTGGCCTGGGGAGTTCACAGTCGAGCCCCGACTTGGGCCCCGACTTGGAGTCCTCACGAGTTGCGAATCCCGGCCAGAACCGGACAACATCTCGATCGAGCAATGG